AGAATAGACATATTGGACAGCTAAAAAGAATATAACTCATTCTTATTTTTTTCATTTATCATTTTCATACCTTTTGCAGGGCTATGGGAGAGGTGATATTGTCCAAGACGTTGCTCGATTCCAACATTTTTCTGTACTCTCCAACAACATTTGAAGCAATGTGATCAACCATCTTCCTGTTCTAAAAAATTTGATAGCATGATCTAACTGACTAATTGAGAAACTTTAGCACTTACCTCCCTGGCCTTCTTTTCTCCGTCAATTTTGCGAAGTATCGACGGCAGCGATAAGGGAAAAATACCCGAAGCTCGCATTATGCAGAATTCTTTACGAAGATGAGGAGGGCCCGAGTAGATTTCGACAAGGCTCTGGAACAACTCGAAAATGAAGCTTAATTCTTACACTCCATCACTTTCCTGCCCTCTATATAAAATATTCCAAGTATAAAAAAACGAACCCATAACAAGCCATCACGACATTTCGGTTTCACATAGGCTAAATGGAAAAATAGCGTCTTCCACTTGATATAATTCCTGACGACCGCTTGTCCGCTTTCGGTTTCCAGGTACTCCATCAGAATTTGGGAAAGCTTAATCAGCCACTCCCGACCCGTTTTTAAAGCAACTTTTTCGTTTGCATATAAGTCCTCTCCCGTTAATGATGACAGAAACAGCCTCCAATCAATCTGAAAGAATCAAATGGTTTTATTTGGTGAGGTGAAATGTGCATACTCACAGCAGGAGCCAACATCTGCAGTTCGGCCATAGAAATCACTTCATAGCGTTCCTTTCTCTGCTTGTAGAACTAAATTGGCACAATTGTTGAAGCCTCACTTTTCTTCAATCATATATATGCTCTTTCTAAATGCTTGAAGATTTGCATACCCTGCTTCCGCTGACTGTGATCCTCCATTCCAGCTCAATCATTCTAGCGAGAAGCATGCGAACAGATGGTGAGGATCTGTCAAAACCGAGAAGGTTTGCCATCTCTTCGCCAGTTTCAAGAAGTAACGAGGTTGCCTAAGAGCCAACATATTGAAAA